GTGAGGTTGGCCCAGGATCGGACATTGTTTCGTTCTGCTGTGCATGGGGTCGCTATGAGTCGCTTCCGACTCGATGGCACCTGACAACAACAACAACAACAAGAACATGCTAACAAGTTTGCTTCTTAGTAAGACCTATAGAGCCTAACATGAAGAAAGGAGACCCTGTTTAGGTCCGCTATAAGTCAGAATCAACTGGGTGGCAGTGGGTTTGGGTTTTTGGTTTTGGTCAGTCATTTTAGGCATAGAAGAAGAAGGCAGGTCTGCAAGAGAATGAAATTACCTTTTTTTTTTTTTTTCTGTCTCACCCATCCTAAAAACTGAGTATGTTGCTGTTACGTGCTGTGGAGTCAGTTCTGACTCATAGTGACCCTGTACAGGGTTTCTGAGGCTATAAATCTTTACGGGAGCAGAAAGCTTCATTTTTCTCCTGTGGAATAACTGGTAGTTTCGAACTGCTGACCCTGAGGTTAACAGCCCATAGTGCTTTAAATTTCTGCTTGAACTTTAAAGAAGAGATGCTTCATCCATTGATAACTATTAAACCAGCTTGGGTAGTATCTGAAAATTAATGTTGTCTTGAGTCAGCAATAAGGGCCTTTGTTGAAAAAGCTATTCTGACTGATACCTGTAACTTTGAGTTCTAAATTGTTAACTTCTGCCAGATAGTAAAACAAAGAAATAAACCACGGCTAAGAAACCCTGTACAGGGTCGCTATGGGTCGGAACCGACTCGACGGCACGTAACAACAACAACAACAAGTAATGTATGGGGCTATTAAATAGAAAAAATAGAAGGAAGTCTCATTTGAATTAAACCTCAAATCACCCTAAAACAATAGTGATTACTAAATTGTTGTTGTTGTTGTTGTTAGGTGCCATCGAGTTGGTACCGACCCATAGTGATCTTATGCACAGAAGAACGAAACACTGCCCGATCCTGGGCCAACCTCAGTACCGTTGCCACGCTTGAGTCCATCGATGCTACAACTTGGCAAATCCATCTTGTACGGGGTCTCCCTCTTTTTCTCTGACCCTCCACCTTACCAACCATGATAGCCTTCTCCAGCGACTAGTCCCTCCTGACAATA